TGCCATGGTTACAATCCCCTCCATGCACATCAACCAACCAAAGGGTTAGTTGAGAGTACACAGCCCCTCTCCCTCTCTGTGTCTAAAGTCCCCAGCCACTCCGTCTGTCCATCTCTGGCATCACTGCTTCTCTGTGAAGAGTTCTGCTCTCTAGTCTTCTCCCTTGATGGTCTCAGGGACCTCTGCTCCTAGACTGCAAAGTCAATCACTCCCCTCCTTTTGCTACAAAATGTGTACCTTTACATTGCCAACCCTCACAGTCAGTCCTGATAACAGTTATTCACTATTGTATCACAAGAGACCTATTTGCATCTCCTTTGATCAGCTCCGCCCAGAAGCTTATAAACCAGTAGCTTCTTGCCTTTGTAGCCATTCCTTACCCCATTTTGGGTATGCAGTGTCCAATTTGCCCATCCCTCTCTACTCTGTGTACGAAGGGGTGGGAATGATCCTTTTCTACTCACCAGTAGACCAAAGTGGTCGCCAGCAAGCTTACATGCTTGTTTGTGTATTCAGTTTCAGTCTTAGAGGGGAGTTTGTCCTGAAGGCACTTGATTGCTAGACTTGATGTCTTTCTGGCAAACAGCTTGCTTATTCTTGTAGTAGCCAGTCATGCTGACATTTTTGTTTTGGGTTTTTCCTGATGATCTTTCTTTGAAGATGTATATTCTGTCACTGTAGCTGTTCCAGTCTGCTTGGCCTTTCTAGTGGGAATGTCCCACCCCATAAGGTTCTGGATGGGACTCAGGATTCCACTTAAGGTCCAGTACTCTGTAAAGGCTTTGCATGAGGCCTTTTTCACTGGGCTAGTTATAGAACTCCTTTTAGGTATTCCAATCAATTAGAGGCTGAAGACGGGCTTACAAGTTTTCTCTAATCATGTTTCTCAGCATTCCTTCCATCCTACTCAAGTGTCTATTTTATATTAGTAGGCAATGGAAACTAATATTCATAAGGCAGTCAAGGATTTTAGTACTGTTTCCCCTCTTCAGGCTATACCTAGATCCCTGTATCCCAGAGCCCTGTTGTTCCAAGGTTGAGTATGCATCACTATTTCCCCCTGTCCCACTAGGCTATGCAAACCTGTCTCAGAGTTCCCCTATCTATCTTGTTCTTCTGCCTCCTCCCCGCTTCTTGTATTGCCCTCCCCAACACCCAAACTAAACCCTCCACCCCAACCCCATTGTTGTAACCTTAAATTCCATTAGTTCTGCTCTCCATTTAAGACAGTCTATTTTATCC